ATTTTTGGATGATATTGATAGTTTTAATGTAGATTTTATAAATTATTTTGTTTTAAAAAATTTTTGTATATTCTTTAATAAATATAATATTAATAATTATTTGATTTTTATTTCTCTTTTTAATAATATTTATAAAAGTAAATCATAATAAAAACTTTTACAAAATTATATTTTATCTCATATTATTTTTAACCATAAAAAAATATAAATATAAATATATCATACATATAAAGAGTTTTAAACTAATTAGAAAAAATTCAAAATTGCAGATCATATATCTTTTACATATATATACTGATATGATATATGTATAGATATAATTATAGCTCTTTTATATTTTTTTATTACTATAGAAAGTAGAAATAATGTAAGATTATAATTTTACTAATAATTTTTATTTTGACTTACTTTTAAATAAAAATTACTCCATTCGTCCCTTTAATAAGTTTATATTTATCTTTTATGCTTAATATTAAAAATATTTTTATATTTATATAATTTATAAAATAAATATTTTGTAGATCATCTCCGAAATAAATATTAGAGTGGTGAAATTAATGTGCAACAGATTCGATCATCTTATTCTCTTTTTCCTTCACTAGATCTTAACTAAATACAATCTTTGTATAAAACATGACACTACATGTCCTTTATTATGTGGATGAAATTATATATACAACATAATTTCTTCTTTCCAATTCTCTCTCCCTCCCTCGTGGCAGGTGGACCTGAGACGTCGGGAGTTTGAACCCATGACCTCACGGTCACAAGTCCAACCTCTACACCATCAGGCCATTCCTTACGGGACAAATTAACTTTTTTTATATGAAAAATGAGTAATTTGAGAATTTTAAATTTAAAATATAATATATGTATGGAAAATTATCATAATTTATGTATTTTACCGTTTTAAAAATATTTAGTAATTTATTTATAGAAAATCTTACCTTAAAAGTATTTAATAATTTAGAAAAAATCTTATTGTAATTTAAGTTTATTTAATTTACATACACATACACATACATATATATATATTTGTCATATTTTTCGTTGTTTTCAAAATTTTTTTTTTCTTCAAACTCATGTTTTTTCTTCATATCTTATATTGTGTTTGGTTCATATTTAGTAGAGAAGACGAAGAATTAAGTGAAGATAATGTCCAAATATAGAGAAAAAATAAGTTGAATTAAAGAAGTAAGATCAGGGAAAAAAAAAAAAAAAAAACCAACCCACTGATGATACATGGAGTGTGTGGTGCAAAGATGGACGCGGTTGATCCGGTGTTGTATAATATATCCTATTATATATATATATATATATATGTATACTATGTTTTTGCAATAACTAATTTACATTATATTGTTTATTCTTTTTTGTTTCAAAAATTATAAATAATTTTTTATTTTTTTAATATACCGTATTATTTCTATTCCTCTAATATATTTCAATTTTGTAGATCATGTACAAATTATCAATATTTTTCGATCCGAAACTATTTGAGAGAATATATACTATAAAAATAATGGTGAGTTTTAAGTTATGTGTTTTAAATCTTTTATTTTTACTTTTCATTGTATATGAATAATTTATATGTAAATTTCTTTTTTGTATATTTTACGGATATTTTGGCTGTCAATTTTTTATAAATATTGTATTATTTCATTAGTTTTTATATTGATTTAATGTCATATTGTATTCTTGTAATTTTATATCTTTTAACTTTATATATTATATTAAATTTTAAATCTTTCGATTTGAATAATCTTTGAAGAATCTTACAAAAAAATCATGGTTAGTTTTTCATTACATATATTATGTTTTAGCAGTATTTTTTTACATTATATTGTTTTTTTTTTTTTATGTTTTCAATATTCATAAATGATTTCCTTATTTTTTTTAATATATCGTATTATTTCTATTATCTAATATATAGTATATTTCAATTTTGTAGGTCTTGTACAAATTATCAATATTTTCCATCAGAAACTATTTGAGAGGATATATATAAAATAATGGTGAGTTTTAAGTTATTTGTGTTTTAAATATTTTATCTCTAGTTTTCATTGTATATGAATACTTTGTAGGTAAATTTATTTTTTGTATATTTTACGGATATTTTGACGTCATTTTTTATAAATATTATTTTTAACACTTTATTTATTAATTTAATTTCATATTATATTCTTATAATTTTATTTTTTTAACTTTATAGATTATATTAAATTTTGAATCTTATAATTTGAAAAACATTCGAAGAATCTTACAAAAAAATCATAGTTAGTTTTTCATTACGTACTACAAGAAATTATCAATTTTGTAACGAAATTTTTTCGTTCCTAAATTCACTTTTTCCATTACTAATGATATTAGAGACGGAATTAGAGATGAAATTACGTTAGCTACGTGAACTTTAAGAACGGAATTCCGTTACAAATATACTATTTTTTTTGTAGTGCGTATAAATAATTTAACATCCAATTATTATTATTTTATATAATTTTCATATTTTTTTACATTATTTCATCTATTAATATTGTTTTATTAATTTCTATGTTAACTTTTCTTTACATCTATAAGATGAAAGACGAGATCCGATATAGTTATTGAATAATATATTGATATCTTATCTTATATATATATATATTTAAGAATTGTGTGGGGCCATTATTTTCAATTTCTAGCCTCTCAAAATTTTAAGATTTTCAAATTAAAATTTAAAGTTTAAAGCATAGGGACTAAATAATGACAGCATCAAACATAATAATAATAATTATTATTAATATATTATTGTGTCTATAGGTTGATCTCGTACTTTTTTGTAGCAGCGTTTGTGTTCTTGCACCAATATTAATTTTTTACGAGAATTAGAATGAATTATTCTCACTCAAAGGTGTATAACAGAATTACATTATTAGTCTTTCTTATTATTGATCACACGATATCAAAATAATAAAATCTAATACTCCCTCCGTCTCATAACAAAGTATCCATTTTTCCATTTTAGTCCATCTCATGACAAAGTATCCATTTCTTTTTTTAGTAACTATATTTTCTACCTAACATTACAAATACCCTTACAAGTTACAATATATTACACAAATGTCATTACTTTTATATCACACATACTAATAAGGTTATTTTAGTCATTTATATTTTATTCCTACTAAATCCCAATATAATACTAATATTTTTAAAACTACGTGCAAAAAACAAATGAATACTTAGTTTCGGGACGGAGAGAGTAATTGATATTTAATCAGCATGATGTCAGTCATCTAAAACATTTGCACATAAATTAAAAGCGTAGGAAAAAAAAAAAAAAAAAAAAAAAAGCATACCTGCAATTTTAGATAAATGCTCAGTGAAATGCCTATTTCTAAGGTTGTGAATTCAAATGACAATTTCCAATATTTGGGGCATTAATAGCTATAAATCAAGTTTTATCTTAAAGTGGAGTTGGAATTTCTTGCACAATTCAGAGACACATGCGCTTATACATTATCTTTATAACTAGCGGAGAAAATCAACATTTGTATAGCATAAATAATGTATTATTGATAATTAACCGAATGAATAAATAGATAAGTCAGAATAAATAGATAAATCAGAATACGGGGGTGTGTGGGTTAAATTAGACAAGAGACGCAATTTGTTTATTTTTTATTTTTTATTGATATGTGTTTTTTTTAAATTAGGTATTAAAAATTGTATGATTAATATGAAAAATAATATTTTATATTGAATTAATGATTTTTTACGAGAGAATAAAATATATATATATATATTGTATTAATATGTATATATTATTTTTTTAAAAATAACATTTATGATATATCATTACACTGAAAAAATACTAAATATAGGAATAACTTCCAAGTGATAAGCAAGAAAGATACCGAGAAGAAAAGAAAATTAGTTTTTCTTCTGGTGGTGGAGCTGCCTACATTAGCAACTCTTTCGTGGGGTTAGGGTTACTTGCAAATTTAAGTTTTGTTTAGTAAAAAATTTTTGGAAATTTTTGAAGTTTTAGAATTTAAAAAATAGTACTTTCTCCGTCCCATTCCGAATGGTCATTTTAGGGTTTTATAGTAAATTAAGAAATAATAGTATTTTATTGGTTAGTGAAAATGTCTAAGAAGTTTTGACTTTTTTGCCATTCGATTTTATGTACAAAGTAATTGTATATGTAATAGTATATTTGTAGTTTAAGTAAAAGTTAGAGGTATTTTATTATTAGTGTATGATTACTTTTACTAAAATAATAGATAGATACTTTGAAGTGAGAACGACGAAAATGATAAAAGAAATATACTTTGAGTTTGGACGAAATGAGTAAAAAATTAGTGATTGATGTGATATTTTATAAATATATACTCCGTATGATCCATATAATTTATTCATATTATCTATTTTTGTCAGTCTCACATAATTTATTCTTTTTGTTTTTGGTAATATAATTATATACTTTCATCATATTTTAAATTTTATAATTTATAATTTTTAAATCTTAATTAAAATATTTAGTTATCTTAATTTTAATTTATAATTATTTTCAATATATAATAATTTTTTTACTAATACACTTATAGTTTATTTATTAATTATATTTTACATAAATTCTCATATTTACAATAATGGATTCAAAATATATGGGACAAAGAGAGTATATATTTGATAAGTTATTTTTTAAAAATAAATAATACCACAAGTCAATATTATTATGGTATGAACAGAGCCAAGTTGTCGAATTTTTCGACAATTCCCTCCACCTCATACCATAGAAGTAACCATATATTCACACAACTTGTCTTGTCAGGCCTAATTTGCAGGATATTAAATTTGATCGAAAATTTATCCATAGCATAATCGGCGAAAGTAGCGGCCGCAAATTACCACGTTATAAAAAAAAATTAAAAAAAAACCTTTACATTCACTCCACACTCTCCATACACATTATATATATATATGTACGTGTATTTGTTGAAAATATAATTGCTCCAATGGCTTCCACTGCAGGTGCTAAAAGGTGAGTAGTTTCATTAGTGTTAGATATAATAGTGTCTATTTCCTATTATATAATGTTTACTAGGTGAATTATTAATAATTTGTTCTTATGAAATATAAATGTATTCACTTTTTGATTGATTATAATATTCACTTTTACCAACAATTATCATTATTATTTTCATTTCAACATTTATAAAACTTTCCATGTGTTTGTTTGAGGGTTTTCAAGATTTGTAATTTTGAATGCCATTTTTTTAATTTAAATAATTATTTGATACAATATATAAATGAGGATTACGTTTTTATATTGACTAATTTGATTTAATCAACACATACAATGTAGCAAGGTGGATAGTACATATTTGTTAATATAATACACAACATACAATCTAAGTATATTAATAATTTCAGCATAATAAATATAAATATATATAATACAATATATAAATTGCACAATATATACTTCTCTAGGACACAACATTGTGTTATGCTACATATTTATATGCATTGTTTGTCTTATTGAATTGTGTTAGATGCTAATTTGACCCGTCAGCAGATTAACCACCGTTATATAATTAGATATTGATATAATAATTTTTAATGCAAAATAATTTTTCATATAATATAAAATAAAATATAAGGGTATCTTTTGGTTATTATTTCAAACTTATAATACTATTCAACAGCACGATTTCTAATAAAAATATATTATTTCTGCTTACACAGCACGATTTCTAATAAAAATATATTATTTCTGCTTACAAAACATAACCTTGAATAATATTTAAGCCAAATTTAAATCTAAACCAAACAAACCCCTTGAGCTTAATGTGATTTATTATTCATGAAGAAAAATTTTCATAAAAATGAAAACCTTGTCAAAAAATTATATGATCCAGTCTTATAATAATGTGTACATCGTAGATTGGACGGAAAGGTAGCTTTAATAACGGGTGCCGCGAGAGGCATCGGCGAGGCCACCGCTCGATTATTCTGCAAGCATGGCGCCAAGGTTGTAATAGCCGACATCCTAGACAAGCTCGGACAACAAGTGGCCGATGATTTGGGCCCATCTTGGGCCATTTTCGTCTATTGCGATGTCACCATAGAATCCGATGTAGCAAAGGCTGTGGACATTGCTGTCTCCACATTCGGAAAGCTCGACATATTCCACAACAATGCCGGGATTGGAGGTGAACCCGAATCGAACATTCTCCAGAACACACAGACGGATTTTGAGCGTGTCTTAAAAGTCAATCTTGTCGGGTATTTTTTGGGCACCAAGCACGCGGCCCGCGTGATGATCCCTAATTGTAGTGGCAACATAATCATGACTGCCAGTTCGGCTGCCTCGGTAGCCGGGGTAGCGCCGCACGCTTATGTCTGCTCCAAGCATGGAGTGGTGGGGCTTACGGAAAATGCTGCGACGGAGTTGGGGAAATACGGCGTTCGTGTGAACTGCATCTCGCCGTACTTGGTGGATACTCATCTTACAAGAGTTGATTATAAATATACCGATGATGATTTTAAGAAGGCGTATACTTATCTGAATGGGGCTGTCCTAACAAAGGACGACGTAGCTATGGCAGCGCTGTTTCTGGCGAGCGACGAGGCTGGCTATATTAGCGGACACAATCTTTTGGTCGATGGAGGATTCAGCATTTCCAAATCAATTTAAAGTTCCCATCGCTTCGGAAAGTAATTCGATCTTAATTGGAACATACATACATACATATAGGCATGTTCAATAATTATATGTGCAAGCCCTCGATTGGTTGTGTATTTGTGTTTGTGTTTGTTTGTGGTTTGTAATAAAAAAATTTATATTGTGCAATAGAAACAATGAAATAAATTTGTGTTTGAGGGTGTTAATAGTATTATTATCTATCTTTTTTTTATATACTTCTTACGTCCGCCTCTAAACGTCACATTTATCTTTTGTGTCGTTATACTTAACATTAAAAATATTTTTATATTCGTATTATTTGTTTTACAAATGTCCTTCTATTAATATTATAAAGTATTTTTTGTGATTTTTTTTTTTTTAATTTGTATTACGTTTTTATATAATAATTAATATTCAAATATCAACACGACAATAAATGAGACCTTCTAGCTGAATGGATGTAAGTATATAAAAGAGGCTGTTGATCTTGTTGTTTTAATTTTTTATTTTTTTTATCATGTTTTGTATTCTTAATGATTTTAAAATTGATTTAATATTTTTAATTTTCATTTAAATTCGTAATTAATGGTAATTACATTAATAATTAATAAAATTATAAATAGATCATTATATTTGTATAATTTATTAATTTCTTTTAATAATTTTAAAATTAATTTAATATATTTTTTAATTCTCATTTAAATTCGTAATTGATTGGATTATATTCCAAATTAATGAAATTAAAAATAATCAATAAATAGTGATTACATTAGCAATTAGATAAAATTAAAAGTGAGTCATTAAATTTCCTAATTTAAATTTCTTATAAATTTCTATATACATTCTATCATAAATTTTCATCTTCTATATACTCTACAAGAAAACAGTAATTTAATGAAGGATTTTTGCGAGAAATTATATTTCCCTCGAAAATATCGACAATTTAGCGAAGGAATGAAATTAATTTGATTGTTTATTTTTGCAGTGAAGTAATTTTGCAAGGAAACTCAAAGAGCTTAAAATCCCTTGCTAGTAGCAAGAGATTTTACCAGGAATTTAAATTATCTGGAAAAGGACAAATTATTATTATTATTATTATTATTATTATTATTATTATTATTATTATTTATTTATTTATTTATTTTAGACAAAATTAAAATAAATTATAATCCTAGTCCAATATCCTAATCCCAAACCCAATTGCAGCGATTCAACACTCACTCCAAAGCGATTCCTCGCACATTACCGGTGTCACTTTCCTGTAGCTCCAGCCGCTCTCATCGCCTCCTTAAGTGCAATTGTCCCTAACTCCAGCCGGCGGCGTCTTCCACCAGCCATGTTGTGGCTTCCACTGTCTTCGCCCTCCAACCTTGACAAAAATCTCAATTATGTCACTGGTGTCTCCCTCCATTTTAGGTCCATGGGAATCTCTCTCATTTTCCCCCATGTTTGTGTCTTTTTCCCCCTTCCCTTGGTAGTGCCATCGGTCTCTATTTTTTGTTCCCTTAGTTACTCTCTTTCGCTCTTTTAAATTTTATGACGCACACTACTTTCCCGAAGATTGGTAAAACCAAGTCTGATATTCTAAAGTCAAATATTAAGATGACAAGCTTTGCAGGTCAACACACATAACCACTTGGCTTGTTAATTGCATAAATTGATGTCAGACAAAAAAAAAAAATGTCATATATATTCTTTGTCGTCAATGCACCCACTACTTATTTTGTTCTGCCTTTGAGGAATTGGATCCACTCCACCGGTTGCGTCCCATCTGCTATCCACCAACAATTAATATTTTAAGACAGACAAAGTTGAAATGGTGGAAGCAGACTCAATACTTTTCGGACACAACACTGAACCCTACGAGTCAATGTTTTACTTAAAAAATATAGAACCGTTTACAACCAATGCTTCTATGGAAACCAAGCCTTGGGACCTTAGGCAATTTAAATCTTAGAGATTTCGGAGGATATGTAAGGCCTAAGCTTAACAATTAAAATTTGATACGCCAGTAGCAATTTAGAACTTGTATCAATGAATGGAAAATACCTTCATATCTCTATCTCGGGCCGACGGTCTGATTACTACATATCAACCTAGGGCCATATATGAGCAATGACCCGACGATAACTCTTCTCCTATCATAAAAAACTACTTGGCGGAAGAAGCTTAGGATTCTTTGGATGAAGTAAACATAGGAACGATGCCGAACAATGGTTGATTAAGGCAAACAACCTTCTGACACTAGATCAAAAACAACAACTCACCGCATTAGTATGAAAGTATTTTGACTGCCTAACATGGTCTTATAAAAAAATGCCAAGATTTGCTAGGGAGTTGGTTGAACACAAGCTCCCAATCAAGGACGACTTTGGCCCCCACAAGCAACCAGTAAGGTGTTTTGATCCAGCCCTGATGCCCAAGCTCAAGGTTTAGATTGAGAAGCTTCAGGAGACAGGCTTTATTAGAACTTGTATATATTTCAATTGGTTGTCAAATATTATACCCGTAATAAAGAAGAATGACCAGCTCAGGATTTACATAGATTTCAGGAACCTGAACTTGACTATTCCAAAAGATGAATATGTAATGCCCATTGTCGACATGTTAATTGATGCAACTATACATAAGTTTTTATCTATAATGGATGGTTATTATGATTAGATCTTTATAGCTAAGGAAAGACGTATCCTAAAATGCATTTAAATATCCAAATGCTTAACACCTGTGCGAATGGATTGTCATGTCATTTGGCCTCAAGAGCGCTAGTGTTACATATCAACGCGCCATGAACACGATGTTTCATGATCTCATCGGACATTAAATTGAAGTTTACATTAATGAAATCATAGTAAAATTGTTTACGTTTTATTCTCATTTTCCGACCTAGAACAATCTTTTTTAAGTGTAGACAAAAAGAAATTGTGTTAATTTCATAAACACAAAATTTTTTACAAATTATATTTAATTTAAATATAATGCGGGTCATATTTTTTATTTGGATCATTTCATTCTCATTTTGGATCGATTTATTTTTCAACTCGGATTTGAATGGCTTATTTGATCCGAAATAATTTGGTCTCCGGTTTGGCTTTGTCGTATTTTAGAGGATTTTGGTCTCCATGTGGACAAATTTGATCATCGACTTTAGATTTGAATACTATTTTTGATGGATTTGAGGTCTTTTTTTTTTTTTTTTATGACGTAATGGATTTGAGGTCTTGATTCTTAATAAGGTGGATTTGGTGATTCGTAACACTTTTTTACAGAGTATCCCTTTGGCTATTGGATTAAAAAGGGTCGGATTGATGCTTTTGATGAAAAACACGGCGAATGTCTTGAAGCTTTAAAATGAACTTTTGAGGTTTTTCCTTGACTTTGACGGATTTTTCAACGGCTTTTGGAGCTTTGATATTTCCTCCGGCTTAGACATAAGAGGAAGACCATTAACTTCATCGATTCCTTGACCAATATTGGATTTTTTGTCCAAATCGGTGACTTTTCGACGAAAAACGCTTCAAATGACACGAAGAACATGAAGAATAATGTAGAAAGTCTAGAGAGACTTACCCTTGCGTAAGTCTTCAAATGAACTCCGATGTGTAAAATGAATTGGCCAAGACCCTACTTATAGGGGATGGGTAGTCTCGACTTTCTTTTTAGATAATACCACGTGGCGCGTTCTGATTAACCGACGAGAAGATTTTGTAATTCTTCATTTTTTCATCAGATGTTGTTTTCCTTTATTGGAGAATTTGATTGTGTTCCTTCCTTTCTTGTCAAGAATCTATATCATTTTATTTCTCGGAAATATTAATTATAATACTTCTTTTATTGACAATATTTATTTTATTTACTGCTAAACTTATTATGACTCTATATATGCATATAATATTTGTACGATATCTTTCATTTTAATCAGATTTTGCATTAATTGTTGATATATATTATACAAAAATTAACATATATGCATAATTATATACAATATATTTATTTTATTAAAATTTTATTTTCTTCCAAAATATATGATATTTAATTGAATTTATATATTTATTTTTTAATGTCTATAAAATGTCACTATTTTAATGGATGAATAAGTCTCGAAATATTCCAAATTTATTTTTGAAATATCCTATTATATTGACATCATCCTTTTTGCTCTTTTTTTTGCCATTTTTTTTTGTGATGTCTCTTTTTGCCAAAATTATTTTGCCTTTTTTTGTATGGTCTTTTTTTTGCTATAAGTTTTTTTTGCATTTTTTTTTTCATTTAAACATTTTTGCAATTTGTGTTTTTATGTATGTATGGCGTTTTTGCCATATATATTTTTTTGCATTTTTTTGGCAATTTTTGCCATAATTTTTTGTAATTCCTTTCTTTTCTCGTGCATATATATATATATATAGATAAAAATATCAGATATTCTTTTCTTCTTTTCTTTATATATATATACACAAATTAATATATATTTTTTTACTTTACTTCTTTCTTTCTTTTATTTTTATTTTTATTTCCTCTTCTTTTTCCTTTCTTTATTTTCTTCTTTCCTTACACATATATCATTTCATATGGCTTAATTTTATGAATATTATATAAATTCCACGCTACGGGAGAATTTTGTCATTTTTAAAATTCCATAACTTGATTTCTCTCATTTTAGTATAGGTTTCTTTCTCTTTTTTTTTTTTTTTTTTTTTATTCTACTTCCCATTTTCTGAACTTTTTTTTTTTTTTATAATGTTCAAACAGGGATTTTTAACAATATTCTAGCATTTGATTATAATCTTTTTGTTAAGTGTTTTTAATTCTTCAAACTTTTAACAGAAACTGTCTATGGTAGTCAATCATTTTGAAAGAATGATCCTTCCGGTAGAAATTTATTTTGTATTTTTTGCCAGATTTATCTTTGCTTGTTTTCTTTGATACTTAAGCCCCATGAGTTGTGAGTCATGAGACTTTGCGCATGAGTTCTGAATCTCTATGTTTGTTTCGAAACATCCAAATGTGTGACGTTGGTTGTAACATTGTCATCTTCTAAGAAGATTTTTTCTTCGTGGACTAACTCCATAATTTTTTCTTTGAAGATGAAGCAATCATTGATGGGATGACCTAATAGGCAATCATACTTGCAATATTTTAGATCATCAATTCTTATAGCTTCCTCCGGTCTTTTTGGTTTTGGAA